GTTAGTAAAATAGATCGATACCGCGTCAATATATCAACATATAAAAATATGGAGAAATTTTGCGGATTTTCGGGGGATTTCGTAGCATAACGATGACATATAGCAATATTTCATTAGTAAAAGAGATTGATATGGTGTTTTTAAATGGCAATATATCAGCATATGAAGATATTGGGATATTTAATGTATCAATATTTTTTCCTTCATCTTTAGAAGAAGAAGAAGTAGTATTTTTTATTTTTTTTTTATTAGACTTTAGAAACTCAGAAGCTGATCAAATATCGGGTTAAATATCGATGGGGTGGGCGATGTCCGATATTCAGTTTTAAGTCCGATATAGGCCGATACCAATAGGGGGCCGATTATATTGTGCATCCCTAATTAAAAGTCAAGTCTTAATGTTATTACAACCCAGTAATTTAACCACAAACAATATAAAAATGTTAGTATTAATGTTGTCTGTTGAACACAACAAACAAAGGAATAGCTCATTTTTGACTGAACCAAATTATTTAGTTTGAAAGTCATAAAAATGTTTAGGATATTTTTCTAATTGCTCATGTTAGAATCTGATCCTTATTGAGTCTTAAATTTAAATAATAAAGCACCTATTTTAATAACTAGTATTAACTAAATAATCTCCTGTATTTTAATCTGAACAGTTTTTAATGTTGAGAAAGAAACTTCTTAAAATAAGACTGAAGTCACATGTCTCCTGACTGATAGACTTTTCCTCGGTTCGTCACTGGATGCTTTGTTTTCGCTTCAGCTGAGATGTGACTGGAAGCAAAGAGGCTGAGGTGGTTTTGAATGATGCATCCCTCCTGATTAATAGGAACTGACAGTGAATTTCTGCCCTGCAGCAGAGGTAGTGCCGTCTGAGACATCCATCTGGTGACCCCCACATCTCTCCGGACTGGGGATCATCCGCCGTGGGAAAGGTGCCAGTCTGCAGACTGACGCACGCAGCCGCAACTCTGCGCCTCCTGGAGCTTCTCACCAAATAAAAACACCGTCTTTGTGTCAAACTAATAAACAAGCTTTTCATGATTCTGAGGACAGTTTATTTTCTTTTTTATTTTTAATTAACTAAACCAATTAAGGATGCACTGGATACACATGATCGTGGATCTATTATTTTCCATTTCATGACTTTTTATTCCTCCAGATCATTTAAGATGCAACTTGCTCCTAAAAGTACCAAACGCTGCGCGCAGCAGCAGCCCTCATTAACCAGCCCCTTCAATCAGAAACACATTTTAACAACAAACCTCTGATCATTTATATCGTTTCCATCGCAGTTTAAAATCAAACGTCAAACTTAAAGATGATTCCAAACCGGAAAGTCGTTTCTTACCTCAAGGCGCAGCAGATCCTCTGTGTGAGTGTGACGGGCAGCTTCTCCTTAGAAAGCCTCAGTAAAGACCCAATGCGGCTCCTGGATGCTCTTATTCGCTGATCAGAAAACACCGATCAGCGAGGATGCCTCTCATGCCCAGATGATGAAAGGTAGAAACTAAATCCACGAGTTGAAGGAGCAGAGAGGAGCAGAGCGCGCGGCGGCGACGGGAGGCTGCTTTGCAAACAGTTTGTTGAACTAACTGGAAGCTGAGCGACTGATCCAGGAGCAGCCAGGAGGGAGGAGACTGCAGCCGCAGACACGCCTTACTGAATCACATTAAATGGATTTGCAAAATGAGTCAAAAGTGCTTCATCTAATGAAAAACAATAAACAAATAAACGATACAGATTAATTACGCAGTTTTATATTTTATATCAAGCAGCTGATTTTTTTTTTATGCATTCATAGGAAAATCTGCTGTCTACGGAAGAGGATTAGGGCCACAAAAAAAAGTTAACTGATTTTTAAATTTAATTTCAGTATAGTAGTATTCTGAGAATTCTGACTTTTTTTCTCAGAATTCTGACTTTAATCTCAGAATTCTGACTTTTTTCTCAGAATTCTGACTTTTTTTCTCAGAATTCTGACTTTAATCTCAGAATTCTGACTTTTTTATCAGAATTCTGACTTTAATCTCAGAATTCTGACTTTTTTATCAGAATTCTGACTTTAATCTCAGAATTCTGACTTTTTTATCAGAATTCTGACTTTTTTCTCAGAATTCTGACTTTTTTATC